GATCGAATCCGACCAAGTTGAACGAAACCCTGATTCACAGTTTCCTATCGACTACCTCCAACCACCATCTCATCTCAACATAGTGCACGAAACGTCGAGTTACCTAGACTAGTGATCACATTGCGACTTCGTTGACATAATTTCATCTGCACTAAGAAGGACCTGACATAAATCACACCGATCACTACCCAGTGATTGACCAATTTTAGATACATCCTACAGAAAGTCATTCGCCGCCCGGGTAGCTAAGTGGTAACATCTCTGAATATGAAGCTGGGTGACACGGTATCGAATCCGTCAAGGAACATCAATTCCTTTAAGATTAAAAGTACACCTTGCTGAAGAGTTACAAATAGCATGAAACCTATCTCCAAGGTTTCCTGTTAAATAACTACAACTACCATCTCATCTGCTTTTCTCATTTTTGCAGTTCAAAAGTCTTTGTTAGGCGTCAGGCAACTATTAAAGCTAGTATTTTGGACACAATATTAGTTAAATTAATTCCTCTATGGTTATCATAGGATGAATTCGATCCTTTCAAGCCTATATCTAGCCGATGAGTTCCAGTAGGACGGAACGCGTGTCCCAGGTTCCACCACCAACCAAACTATATGTTTCTGCGTATTCAACTCAAAGTAAGTTTAGTGGACATAAAATTATAGTGCTTGTCCTTATTGAGGATTCCAACCAAGTAGTTGAGTTAACAGTAAACTATCAAATCGAACTGAGATCAGTTTGCAAAGCAATACTGTTAACAGTAACAATAACATGACTAAAGTTCACATGCCTTGATTCGTAATTTGTCTACCATATTAATTAGCGCCTTAGTTTAGTCATAAAAATACTGCTTGCTGTAAGAATAGACAGATGTTTAATTGACGCAAAAAAGAAAGACGAACCGTTAGAAATGGTAAGATAATACGATTACAGTAAAAAAAAATCGGTCAAATTTCACAAGCATAAGTGAATACTTCGAAAATACACATGCAGGGCCAGTGAAACTGAGAGATGTTTTGAGCTGTGGTCACAAATGATTGACAGTGATATAAGATAGTTACTGAGCAAACAGTACAATAGCATAAACAAGAACGTCATTAAGAAATAAATGGAGGTGTAAAGACCAAACAGAACAGACGTACTGCCTTTAAAACGTGGATGCTCTATGAACATTTAGAATACCAACTTCAGGACAGCTTTTTGATGTTAAATGACAGTCCTTTTGAATAAAATTCAAATAATAAGTCAGTAAATAAATGAGGTCAAATAATTACATTTTCATGATAAAAACTAACTTTACAAGAGGTCTAATCAGAAAAGTATCTACAAACGATTCATCATAAACATGAATCCACTCTGATTTCAGCTCGCGCAGTACTTCAGGTGAACATAAAAATCTAAGAATCTAGAGAAACATACATAAGTATATTAGTGAACCTACTTCTTTACAATATTGAACTTTAATACAAAGAAGAAAGTGCCCCAATCCGTTTTCTCCAAAGGTCTCCATTCCAAATAATGAGACATAAAAAAGAACTGTGAAAAGTTATGATCATTTACTGGAACGTTATGTGGTAATTTTATGCGTGACTTGTCTCACGCATATGCGAACCAACTTACAAACAAACTCGCTTTTGAGCGACGGAAGTAGTGTGAAACTGCAAGATTTGTAAAGTTTCGTCACACATGGCTTTAATATACTGCGGAACTTCATAATTTCAGTGAATAGTTCAAGTGCTTTATCAACATAGTCTAACTTCTCTATAAAATCCTTAACAATGAATAAGTCTGAAGAACGTATTCCTACTTCTTTGGAAAAAGCTACCACATTTCTCGACCAAAAATATTCCTTTATGAGTGAAACAGTTTCTTGAAAAAGTTTCAGAAGTCGTTTCATAACTTTTGAAAACTTACTGTTTATGATCACTTTGGGTCAAGGGCATATGTATCTACAATATAAATACAAGGTGCCCAATAAATGGGCGATAAAGAAAAACCTTGGAAATTTTTACTTAGCTTCCACATCCAGATCTCCTATTTCGTGTAATTTTGTAATAAATAAGTCAATAAAATATTGTCTTAACAGCACATCAACAAAAATGAGCTGTTGACTTTAACTTCAGGAAAAGTATAAACTTTATTGAATAGGATAAATAGTGAATTCTGAAAGTATACAGAAAAGCCGCCTCTTTAAATTTATCAGTGCTTGTGCTGGAGAATGAAACCTAATACCGAAAGGTTCGCGCACTCGTTCTGACTGATGGTACTAAGCGACAATCGGCAGAGGTACAAATAAATGGGAGTCATCGGAATGGTGGGAAAAACTTCATACTTAAGGTTTTTCACATTGTAAACGTTCGAAGCAAAATAATCCCTAAACCAATCTGGTTGAAAATAAAAAGGTCTTTACAGAATTAAAGAGATCCTATTACTTACTTGCGCCTGTTACCCCTCGTGAAGGAACATAGGCCACACACCAGAACTCGTCATCCAACTCTTTCCTAACCACACCTTTCCAGCACTTTTCAGTTGTGATTCTTCCTTTCCATATCTGCTTCTATTTCCCGACGCCATGTGTTCTCTGGCCTTCCACTTTTCCGCTCCCCTTCAGGATTCCAAGTTAGAGCATGCCTCGTGATGTAGTTTGATGATTTACGTAATGTATGTCCTATCCAACTCCATCGTCTTTTCCTAATTTCCCCTTCAGCTGAAAACTGGTTTGTTCTTTTCTACAAAAGGCTGTTGCTGATGGTATCCGGCTAATGGATATTGAGTATCTTGCGTAGACAACTATTTATAAATACTTGCACCTTCTTGATGATGGTTGTTGTAGTTCTCCAAGTTTCAGCTCCATACAGTTGCACTGCCTTGACGTTCGTATTGAAGATTCTCACTTTGATATTGGTTGAAGGTTGTTTTGAGTTCCATATGTTCTTCAACTGTAGGAATGCGGCCCTTTCTTTACCAATCCTTGCCCTTACGTCTGCATCTGAACATCCTTGTTCATCGATGACGCTTCCCAGGTGTGTGAAGGATTCTATAACTTCCAGAGATTCGCCATCAAGAGTGATTGGTGTAGCGGTAAATAAATCCCCAAAATGAATAGCTCTGTAAGTTTTCGACATTGGATGCTGACCAGATTAGTTTTAATGGACTCACCCAGCTGAAGGCGCTCGATCATGCATCCGTACTAGATCACGTGTGGGAACGCCGTGCTCAACATCTACCGCAATCGCTAGCCAGATCAGATCAGACAATTCCGATATATTGGCAATCGTCAAATACAACTTCTGATCTCCTCGAATCTGTCTTTTGATTTCTCTTGGTGGGTACGAGTTATATTAGAAGGTGTTACTGGTAAAAGCGTTGTCAAGCACTGAATACCTGTGCCGTCTTCATGAGATTGCTGTACTCCGTGTTGTATTTAAGGACCTTGGTTTTCCCCTTGTGTATGCTGAGGCCTACTGATGCAGAGACTGCTGCTACACTGGCTGTCTTTATCTGCATTTGTTCATGTGTATGCGATATGAGGGCTAGGTCATCTACGAAGTCCAAATCGTCTAATTGATTCTGAGCTGTCCGTTGTATTCCGTGTTTTCCCTCAGATGTCGAGGTCTTCATAATCCAGTCGACCACCAGAAGAAAGAGGAAGGAAGGGAGTAGACAGCCTTGTCGGACTCCGGTCCTTACTTGGAATGCATCTGTCAGCTGCCCTCGGTGCACTACTTTGCATTGTAGTCCGTCGTACGAGTTTTGGATAATGTTGAAAATCTTCTCAGACACTCCATAGTGTCGAGGAATTTTCTATAATGTTATCCGATCTACACTGTCAAATGCCTTTTCATAATCAATGAAGTTAGTGTACAGTGACGAGTTTTACTCAACTGATTGTTCGACGATGATCCGTAGTGTTGCAATTTGGCCTGTACTCCACCGATCCCAGTGGAATCCAGCTTGTTGATCTCGAAGTTGGGCGTCTTCTGAGTCATTCATCCAGTTTAGAAACACTGATAAAGACTTTCCTTGATACTGACAGTAGTGTAACGCCTCTGTAGTTTTCACATTTGCTCAGATCTCCTTTCTTTGGAGTCTTGATGAGGTGTCCTTCTTTCCAGTCCATCGGCACTTGTTCCTACTCCCAAGTCTTTTTGAATAGAAGCATATTTGTAGTTACTTGGATGTCTGACCTCAGTGCTCCAGCTAGTATATTGTTAGGTCCTGCCGTTCTCACTCTTGATATGTCTGATGGTCATTCTAATTTCCTCCGCAATTGGTGCAGTGACATTTATAGGAAGGTCTGTGTGTGCTGCTTCGATTTCGGTGAATTCAATGGAGCTGGTTTATTCAAGAGTTCCTCAGAATACTCTACCCATCTGTTCCGCTGTTCTTGAATTTCAGTGATTGGCCTGCCTTCTCTGTCCTTGACTAGTATCTTAAGTTTACTATATCTCCCTGCTAGTTTCTTCGTTGTATCGTAAAGCTGTTTCATATTCCCTTCTCTTGCAGCTGCTAGTTTCGCTTTCTGAATGTCGGAAATCGTATAATTCCTTGACAAACCATGGAAATGTTGGTGGACCATAAAAAATAAGTGTTTGAAAGCTACGAACTTTTCGCTTTCGAAAGAAGTAATAACACTCAATTATTAACAAACTACGAATACGAACATCACCAAACAAGGTACGAAATTTTTCAGCTTCTGAGTCTTCTGTATATTCATTAATACAACGAAAGTCCAAAGATTCAGCAAGTAAAATTTGGCGCAATTCTTCTAGACCGTAGAAATCTGACACATATATAAGAACACGAGGATCTGAACCTCGACGTAGCCTAGCTAATATTCGTTGTTTAGAGGCATTTAATCGGGCTATAGAAACATTACGTCCTGATAAATATGCGTTATCAGTGAATACAAGTGTTTTAGTAGATAATAATAGTGAACTTGTTGACGAATCTATTTTTTTCAGGAATTAGAAAGGCAGTGAAGAGAATTATCAGTTGTCGTATTAGGTGACATTTCTATCATCGTCTGAATCTGATTGATTATTTTTAATGACCAATTTTGTACAAGATGATTTAACAGAAATTTGTCCAGGAACTACAAGTGAAATTGAATGTAACTTGAAGTTATAATTTGTTAACGATTTATCTCCTTGCTTTATAGCATTCATATCTGAATGTTGACGTTTCTGTCCAGTTCGAATAGATGCATTCAGTTCAGGAATACGTACCCAATCGGGTAAAAATGTTGGATATAAATCAGGGTAATGTGATAATGGCGGTATATAGTTCAGGCCTTGAAAATTTTCACATTCACCTGATAATGATGTGATCAAAAAATATGGTACGCCAGAAAATAATAGAGTTTGACGATAACGTCTACCATAACCAGCTAGGTAACATAATCGGATACGTGCAGCTGACGCTAACACAAGAACAGTTGGACGTTGATTGAGTGAAGAGACAATCTTTTGTACAGTAGCCCGATTTTGCATTATTAACATTTCAGCTTGATCGATAATCAACAATTTGATAGATGCTATGACATACTGAACATCGGCTTCTTTCTCTACTTCATCATTGGTAACAGTTTTAATTCTCAAAGAAGCTAGAATTATATAGGAATCACGGAATGCAGAATAGAATTTTACAGACTTTTTAGAAAATGCCATACCAATGCAGAAATTGTCGCTTGAGTTACCACTAAGCCATTCTTGATAATCTCTAGGTTTTCTTCCGTTTTTCTTCTCTTTGCCGGCATCTCCAGGTTGTGGACCAAAACATCGTTCTTCCAAGTATTTCTGCTTGTCAACTTTAATGCTCTTCTCCACATGCTTGTTTGCTTCTGTTTATTCGGCTTGTACTCCTCTACTGGTTCTCACATCTTCCATTGTCCTTCGGAATTTTTTATTAGTGCAAATATGATCTGTCTGGTTCTCTGTAGTGTGGTCCGGTGAGATCCATGTAGATTTGTGTATACGTTTGTGTGGAAATATTGTGCCGCCTATGGCCAATTCGCTGAATTCACATAGATTTGCGAATCTTTCTCCATTTTTTCTCTCTCCCAGTTAGTCCATGTCGTCCCATGATATCTTCATAACCGGTGTTGTCTATTCCGACTTTGGCGTTTAGATCTCCCATCAGAATGGTGAGGTCATTTCTTGGGCACTTCATCATGATTGATTGTAACCTCTCACATAATTGGTCTTCAATATCGTCTTTGCTATCATTGGTGGGTGCATATCATTGGATAATATTCATTGTGATCCCCTCCTTCTTTGTTTTGAATGATGCTTTGATGATTCTGGATCCGTGAGATCGCCATCCTACAAGTGCATTTCGTGCTACTTTGGACAGCAGTAGAGCAACTCTTTGAGTGTGTGGAGAATTTTCCTCTTCATGACCGGAGTATAGTAGCATCTCTCCCGTATTTAGCCTTTGTTGTCCAGCTTGGGTTCAATGGGTTTCGCTGATTCCCAGTACTGCTATATTGTATCTCCCCATTTTCGTTGCTATTTGACTGGTCTTTCCGGTCTCCCACATTGTCCGTACGTTCTATTGACCAGTAAACTTGTTGTTCTGGTTGTTAGAAGAAGCACCAGCCTCGTGACTTGCGAAGAAACTCGGCTTTCACCATGAGGCGTCGTAATTCTTCTAAATGAAGACCTTCTAACTCCGAGAGCAGAGTTTAAATGGCTTGAATTATTTTTTTTCGTTTAATGTTTTCCAGCGAGTTAGTTTTCTACGAGATGGGGTCGCTAACCACATGCCCAACCCTCCTCCTTTATTTGGGCTTAAGACCGGCAGTAACTCTGGAAGAGCTACAGATGGAGTTAAACAGATTCTGTGCAAAGTTATAATGACATCCACAACATTTTAAACCGGAAAAAGCTGGCTGTTAGATAACAGAAACAGCATTTCATAAAACAAAGTACGACGTCGAAGTTTCATAAGTGCAATGGTTCGGATGTGTTATGGCGTCACATCGAAGTAACATCATTCTTACATACACTGACAGTTGCACTGAACGTTCGTTTAGGTATTAATAATGTAACAATTGAATGTATGAATAAAAACATACGAAGACTACTTTGGTTTTCGTTTGGAATTCCAGAGGTCGTCCAGATATTTTCCGAGTTCGTATTGAGTGCAAATGAAACGAAAACGGAATTAATATTACTGAAGTGTAATAAGGAAGTTGAGCCATGGTTTGATGTATGAGACAACAACAGATACAAAAAGTGTATATTAGACATTACTTAAATTGATAACATCATGGTAATGCAATTATGCAACTCGCCTGTATTACTCTCACTTCCAAATAGTGGAAATTTGAAGTAGATGGTAGTTGGATTCGAACTATATATGAGGTATTATTGGTTTAATTTATGTCATATCACTAGGTTGTAGACTGAATTTGTATAGGTTCAAAAATAAACTAGGCCAAACATGTAACATTGCTTGAAAACAATCCAAACATAATCTGAGATTGCTGGAGGTTTGTAACTCGGATTTACCATAAATTTCTGGCATTCGTATCCTTTGTTTGACGATGGAATTCAGCAGTAGGATATTAGGCAGGTAGTGGTCAAGTAAGTGAAATATTTCCGTGGATAATTTCTGACAGAAAGAAGTTCATAGTGGACACGCAAGTAGATGGGTTTATAATCTATACCTGATCGTGTCTTGTTTACGTAAGCTATATACATACATGTGTTTGCGCTACGTTCTGGCTATACTTACGAGTGGTTGATATTTAAATTCATACTACACAGGAGCAGTTACATGCTTCTAATGATTGTTGGAGAATCATAATAGCCTATTATAATAGCAGTTGATTGGTTAGTTCTACTGGTCGAACTAATTAGTTAAGTTTAAATACTAATATAAAGAAGCGAATATTCACAGCAATTGACGATCTAAAGCGACGGTAAAAATGAAAGAGAATAAATATAGAGTACAGTAAAAGATATTATAGTAATCATTGGGGTTGCTAGAAGTTCTGCTCACATCTGAATTCTGCACTGACTAGTTTGGCAAAATTCGATTATAACGGTTTTACTGGTAAAGGTGTCATCAAACTCAGAATACCTGTGGCATATATAGCCTTATACTAACAGGTATCAGCCTCACCAGGAGAAGCTGGACCTTCTTCGAAAAACAACTCGCAAGGATTATGTTGGATCTATTGACCGAATATCCTTATTACTGAAGACTGGTTGGCTACTGTGACGACAGAATTTTCCGCTAAATTATCGGATGTTTGTTGAACAGTATATAGACCATGGGAACTGTGTTTCTCCCTTCAATCAAGGAACATATAGGTACGTCGAAGAGTATCAAAATGCGACCAAAATATCCCTTTCTTATTGTCAAATTCAAATTCGTCACTGAATCCCAACTCTTTAGAATACAAGTAGCTCAGAGGTGACTTTGATGACCTACAAAATACTAAACCCACTCATCACCTTCCAGCTTATCTTCTTAAGTTCAGAACGGACTCAAAGTAGGTTAGATTACTCTAAATTTAGAGGTACAATCTAATAAACGTGACTGGAGACATATATCCTACTCTTTACGAGTAGTGAAGATCAGGAGGCTGAGGTGACAAAATCGATTTCAAGAGCGAATTCTGGGCTAAAATTACTGTTTAATGCTAATTCATTACTGAAGCGCTACTGAATTGAACGAAAAAATGTTTTATTTCTTTCAGATTCATTTGAGTAATCTGAATCATCTAGAGGAGATTTGAAAATAATATCATTTCAAGGTCACAGGCGGGCAATTGCGAACTGTGTTATGATCGACCTAAATACCAATGGACAGGCTCTTCTTTCAGCAGTTAATTATGTTTTGGATGGGAAATGGTCTTGGTAAAAATGACACATTATGTTGATTTCTTTAGGGTAATCTTTGGATATATGGGACTAACTCATACGTTAGACGTAAAAGATCAAGGTTACCGTTTTCGTTCTATTTCATGGTATGTCTTGTGTTTATCAGGTCACGATTTGGATCAATTTCTGAATAATTTTTCTTCCGGGAAAGTCCTTTATGGTTTTGTTCGTGTTGACGTTGTAACTCCTGCGAAATTTGTTTTAATTGTGTGGGTAAGCTTTCCTGTCCTGTTGATTTATTCTTGTGGCTGGGTTGTTGTTGCGTAGTGCTTTACTCTGAAATGTAGGTGTTCGCATTTTAACTATCCGGGGACTAATATACCAAATTAGATGTCCTACATCAATATATTAGTACGATATCTGGTCCTTACAACGTAATTGGAGTTGAAGAACGAATTCTAGGTGTAAATTAGCACTTGGGATCAGACATTTAACCATCATAACGCTGATGACCCGGCCTGTTTGGTCATCCCTTCTATTCAGATACTTGATCTTAACAATTCGGCTTTATTAATGTTCTGGTGGAGTATTCCAGTATTTTACTACTAGACTTGAGAGGCGATACTCCAAACCTAGACAATTTGATCTCGGTTTTTGAACCTTATTAGAATGTCCTTTCAAATTATCAGTCCTCTCCTTCCGTCTAGGACTGGTACACTTGTCTCACAACAATTTTAAATTTCACACAATGTAAATGAGTAATTAGAATGAGCGGAATCTGGTGAAAGAACAATAGACCATTGCCCAGAGTCTGCCTTATTAAAGAATTTCTTGGCCTCGCCTATAATGGAAGTGTTGTTTTCTCAGAAAATATATCAGTCATCTCGTTAATTTATCCATAATTTTTGAGTGAAATTCCGGGTCTGATTGTTTGAGCACGTGTTCCTCCAATGAATTGGTGGGCACTAGACGAGATTTAATAAACACGTCTTTATTAAACTAAAGCATTGATTTTACTTCTGTGACCTAAGCTGACATGTTGTTACTTTTTCAACTGCGTCGTTTATTGTGAAAGCGACTTAGACAATGCAGTTTATTTATAACAGGCAGTTTGAATTTGGGTTTAGTTGAGCTGAAAGTTGAGTTATAACAGTAACCAGACAGTTTTATTAAAAATTGAAACCTGTAAATTTTCTCCGTCGCCAGTTGCTATTACCTACGTCGCTTATTACGTATACTTGAAAAACAAGGAATTACTGCGAAATAAAAACACAAGACTAGTACAAGTGAATATTTATTACCTCAATGACCACAATAGTCGAAAATACTTTCATTTATATATGGACATGTTCACACACTTGATTATTAATTAATGAAAAGCCACGCATATGAAATCGAAGCACAATCGTACGCTGCGTGTCATAATGAACTTAGCTAACCAACTCGATGGGTGTAAAGCATTGCTATTAAGATTAGAGGACATTTGTAGGTTACTGGCATTCTATCGTAGGTGTTCCCGAAGCATTGCTCTTGTATTTTGGGACCACCGAGTGAGGAATGTCATGGCCAGGAATAGAAAACTAGGTAAATCTGACAAATCGGTCGGTGAAGTAGTAAGTGTTGATCAATTGAGTTGATTGGCATATGTGTTACGTAGGCCCAACAACCGCCTACCTCTACGGTTGATGTCCTCTGGTATAAGAGTAGGTCAGAAGGATTGTAGGGGTGGCCAAACCGGAACATGGCATCAGTCCATGAAGTTATGAACAATCATACTGAACCACGTTATCAGGTGTAGACTATCTGGTTGGGATCTGTGCGACTATCGTAATCAA